AAATACATTTAATACAATCGCGTAATTTTCGATTATTAATTTCAAATATTATAATCCTCTCATTAAGCTACTATATACTCATAACATTTTTAACATGGAAAGAATTTATTCGTAAAATTATGTTTATATATTATTTTTCTACTAACATATTTAATGGACTTGTAACGTTTGACCATTTTTTAAACAATCTGTATAATTGCCCAGGTAGCATTAATGTCTAAAAGACATCGTAAAGATGTCTTTAAGCTGCCAGAAATCTTAAAGATGTCTTTATGATGTTTTTTAGACATTAATTGCTACCTGGGCGGTTGCAGGCGATATCGCATATACGCGATAAATTGTCACTGTAAAAACGCCCGTGGCGCACCGACAGCCAATGAGAGCCGCCTAACGAGTCGTCCGTACGTCACATGAGATATTCGGCCTAATTACATCCCTGGGAGAGTGGGATTGGGATCTTGGATGGTTTGCGGTCTCTCCACGGCTCCGCGGTGCAAATGTCAATCGCGAAAAGTGATACAACAATAATAATGGAGGCGTGTAATGCCGTTGAGCGCGAGGTGGATAAAGTTCTGTCGAAATTCGGTGCGATAAACGAACATGCGGAGACAGTGCTGCACGACCTGATAAATCACATTCAGTCCCTGAAAAAGGATCTGGAAGAAGGTAAACGGGGTCGAAGTCATTTCCCGAGATTTTTGTCTCCGATCTTGATCGCTAACGGGTAGTTTTTAGTTCGAATCATGCGATTTCGAAGGCTTATTCACGCTCTCCGATTCTTAACGGACCAAATCGATTTTCCGATAGACTGATTGCTCTATTTATTAACTGTAGCGCCGCAGTTTAATTTCTTGGAATCGACTAACCTGTAAACCAAGCTCTGCATATTGCACGCTATTAACAGCTTAGTTCTACGTGTTTAACATCATTTTTAATATAATAATGAGCAATTAAATGCAAATAGTATGTTTTTTTTTTGTATTTATTTACCTCCCTACATTTTTTCAATACTAAGGTATAAGGCCTTGTCGTGCGTTTGTCGCAAATTATCTTGTCCCTGAAATAAAAAAACACGTCAGACATACAACTGATATTAAAACTAATAATTAGATTTTTTAAATATATATTTATGTGCGTAATACAATGAAAAGAAAAAGGTTTATAATATATGTACAAGTTTATTATTTATTCAAATATTTGTGAATATAATTCAATAAAGAATTATATATTTATTCTTTTACATATAGAACTTTTATATACAATCGATTTGGATTGCGAAATATAAGCTTAATATGTTTTTATTAGCGCCACCTAATCAAGAACTAACGGCTGGTCAAGTACAGATGTTAAAGCAAGCGATGACAAAAGTACGTGATACTGTACAAAGACTGGCGACAGACCACCGCGATTTGCACAGTACGGTGTCCAAGGTAGGTAAGGCGATAGACAGAAATTTCATTGCCGATTTCGCAAGTACCAGCAGGGAAGATGTGTTTTCCGGGCCTGAGAAATCTCACCTCCTGAATCAAATAATCTGCCAGCACTTTTATCGCCAAGGGATGCTGGACATTGCTGATGAATTAGCAGTGGTGAGTTTCCTTTACCAAATCTATTTTACATTGTTTTCTTTCTATCTTAATCGCGTGTAATACCACGATTGGTAATATTTACAGGAAGCTGGCATCAAAACCGACGAAGGCAGGAAGGAACCATTCACAGAATTGAATTATATATTAGATTGTCTAAAACAGAGAAACCTTGAACCGGCATTAGATTGGGCTAAGAAACACAGAGAAGCACTTTTAGCACAGGTAATTTCCGACTTGCAAATGTAAATCGTCCATTTTATATTGGCGTATAACGTGCGTGTCATAAATTTTTCATTTTTTTTCCAGAATTCTTCTCTCGAGTTCAAGTTACACAGATTACATTTTATAAGATTAGTCCAACAAGGCCCTAGCAAGCAGAGAGAAGCGATATTGTACGCCCGCCAAAATCTCACACAGTTCGTCGGACGTTACGAGAAAGAAGTACAATCTCTAATGGGGACGTTATTGTACTTGCCGCATGGAATCCAATCGTCTCCCTACAGTCACTTATTAGACCCAACTTTATGGCTCGAGATACACGACGTTTTCACTAAAGAAGCGTGTACATTACTAGGTTTAAGCGTGGATAGCCCATTATCTGTTTGGTACGTACATCTTGCTTGCTCATAATTAAAAGGAATTTAACGGGCGACTAAAACATCGTGATTTGTTCAATTGCAGTATCAACGCAGGATGCACTGCGCTACCTGCGCTATTAAATATCAAACAAGTCATGCAGCAGAGGCAGGTCACCGGTATCTGGAGCGGTAAAGATGAGTTGCCCGTAAGTACAAGGACGCATAATCACATACATATTTAAATAAATGTGTAGAGATATTGAGATTCAAAACACATCGATTTCTTCTCGTCTGCAGATCGAGATAGATCTGGGAAAGCAGAGCCGTTATCATTCAGTCTTTGCCTGTCCCATACTCAGGCAACAAAGCACAGAGAACAATCCACCGATGAAACTGGTTTGCGGTCACGTAATTTCCCGAGACGCGCTGAACAAGCTCGCCAATGCAAATAAGTAGGTGTTACATATGCGGCGAGGCTGGAGTACATTGGTGCTTCCTAAGTGCTGATTTAAAGTCACTTTTTAAAAGAAATCAATTTATTTCCAGGTTGAAATGCCCGTACTGCCCGGCGGAGCAGAATCCTGAGGATGCGAGACTTATTTACTTTTAAGCTGTGATATACTACCTATACATATAGTAATATATACATATATATGTAATATGTGTGTGTGCGTGTGTGTGTATAAGGAATATATACACATGTAAAAGAGTTAGTTTTGCAGTTTCTTTGTAACGAATTATACCGAATGCAAAAGAACAATACAAGTTACATGCAATAACCGGAGAATTGTAAATCCATATTTACATTTGTCATCAAGAATCTATTACTGAAACTGTTTCCGTTCATCGTAATATCAAGATCGACCATTCACTTAAATGCAGATATAAGTGCAATCAATTCGCAGTCTTTTTTTTCTTTTTCAAGGAAACTGTTCTGAAATATCTGAAGAAAAACGGAGGAACTGTGATAGTTTTAATATTCGTGGGATAGTTGTAATTATACAGTTATATATTGTTGGTTAGACAATTTATATATATTACTCTAGTGTATAAGTGACTTCAGCTTTTTATGCGAGTGATGACTTAAGAGCCATGAATGTTTAACGATGCCTAACAAATTTGTTATAAGATTTTCGTAAAGTTATCCGTTTCTCATTTCGATTGTATGTACTGGCTTGGCTATAGTTAAATGAAGAGATCATTTTGTAAATATGTGTTTTTTACATTTATTCCCTCCCTGCTAAAACTACGCAGTGTATAATTACAAAATAATATTAACCCTCGGTGGTCACACGTTGGGTTCAAAGTGATCCCAATCAATTTTCAAACAACTGCATGCTGTTCAAAAACTAACAGTTTAAGTAATCGCAAAAAATTCTAGAATTAAATTTAACATTGTAGAATATATTCTCATTATAAAAAATTAACTTTTTGAGTGGCATCATGTTCAAAAATATCCTTTAGAAATGTTCAAAAAAGAGGTGTAACCAAGGGTTAATAATAATAATTATATGTCTTTATGTTGCTTCTTCCCGTTTAAAACGGGCGGATAAAATTTCCGGGATCATGTTGACCTCGTTGTCGAGTGTTTCGTATATACACCAATTGTTGCTTAGACTTGTCTCGATGATTTTAGATGGTTCTGCGGACTCGGGTGGACTGTCACAACCGCGCTGCGAATCACCGTGATCGTTCTCATCGATGGACCACTGCGATGCGATCTCCTTGAACGGCTGCAAGCAGTTCGCGTTCTGTCGTATGTTCTCCAATTCCTCGTCGCAGAGACGCTCGACCTCCGACAACTTCTGCCTGTAGGCGTCGACGAGCACACGCTTGTACGAGTTGTAACGTTGCTCGGCTTGCTCGACGGAGTGCCGGTCATGGTACTTGGCGAGATTCTTCTCGTACTCGAGTATTGCGAGTTCCCTGATGCTCTGCTCTGACGTAATATCAACGATGTTACCTGGTAAATACAAACCGCATAAATGTTAATCATCAATTTTGGATATAGAGAATTAAACCGAACGGATAGTGAAATATATAAGAAAGGAACATAAATGCAAATTCAGATTTAATAATTTTAATTCTTGCAAGCCACACTTGTTTTTTGCATACGTGTAAGCTACACTGGAGTCTGGAGAACCTCAGCCATTTTTCGCTCATAAGTTTCGAAAAAATCAACATATTGTAATGTTTTTTTTCCCTCCAATTAATCATAACTTTTCTGAGAATTATGATAGCAATCTCAGAATTTGTAAAAAAAATTAATACAAAAAAATTCGCATTAAAAAATAAAATGATAGTTTTAAACGTAGTTCCAAAATTTCGTTAGAGTTCTTGAGACCCCAGTGTGGCTTTCGAGGGTTAAATAAGACTTTAAAGTTCCCTAAAGATTTGTTCACTGATGAAGGATTTATAATTATTCTGAAATAAATTTCTCAGTTCCCCTTAATTCACTCCTCGATTCACTCGTTTTACAAGACCTGAAGGAGTGAATTGAAGAGTACGAGCTACTGATTAAATATCGATGATTGCAAATCGTTACCTAAGTCGCTCGAGAGCGGCGATTCGACGGCATAGGCCGCGGCTGCGGCCCGCGCGGCCGCGGTTGCCTCTTCAAACGCAAGGGCATCGCTTCTCTGGCGTAGAAGATGAAACTCCTCCTTCTCCCTTTTCCAGAGAGCTGCCTCCTTGTTTAGTTTTTCTCGAAGGCTCGTCATCTCCGACCAGAGTTCCTGGGCGCGCTCATGAAGGGCAGATCTAAAGCGAATAATTTTCTATCTGGTAAAACTGTAATTTTACCACGGCCAAGAAAATATTAAAATCGCAAAAAAACCTTAACATTTTTTATACTCTTTTGCTCGAGCACTTTTTCAACACGTGAATTGCTTTTATATAAATTATATTCCTCGTACACATTTAATAGTGTTGTTAAATATGCGATGAAATGATTGAGAAAGATTTAATTAATATAAGTTTTTTTTTATCATTTTTATAACTTTTTATAAATTTAATTAAGATAGTTTTTTTAATTGTCAATCTGAGCCAAACTCTGAAAGATCTTTTTTGAATTGCGATCGATCTAAAATATTAATTTTTAATTAATTCGATGTCTTGTTATCTCTTTATATTACGAAACGCAAAGATCTGCTTTATTGCTTTCGTTTTCGTAAGCGGAACACTACCCCCGTAATTTTCGCGTAAAAGAGAGGGAGTGGATTCTCTGTCCTCGAAATATTTCTTTCAAAATTTCAAGATTTACAACAGAGAATACAATACGCGAATTCTTTTCCACAGTCGACGGCGGATGATCCTGGATCTGTCGCGGGCGAATGTTGAGTCTCCGTTCGCTCGACGTCGCCCGACAATCCTTCGGACACGTCGTCCTCGTCCGACGTATCGATATAAATTGCGGGAATATTCCCGATAACGTCTTGCGTGCCCGCTTCGTTCCGCGTGTCGTCGCGTTTCTCCAAGTGACATTTGCGAATTTTCCAATTTCTGGACTCCGAATTTTGAGGCGCATCGTTCGAGGCGACAGGCGCTACTTCCGCCGAGGAGACGTGCCTGACGTCCATCGCGTTTCGTTTTTTTTTCTTTTTCGATCAATTACATAAATCACGAGAAATATCGCTGACAAATGGAAACATTTTACATTTACCGATCCCGGAATTCTCAGGGATAAATTGCACGCGCTTCCGTTTTGGTTTTGTTTTGTTTTTTTTTGTTTTTGAAGTTTTATTGTCGCCGCTTTTCCGCGATGTTGATTGGTTCTCTCGCTTGGCTCAATTCGTTACTGCGAGAGTTAATTGTCAGTGCGAGAATCATGTTTTGACAACTCACTAAATGACAGAGGTTATTACGATTGATTTTATTCAAATTATCCTGATGCGTAATGTCAAATAAATGTAAAGATTAAATTTGATACCTGTTATTAAAAATATATTTATAATAGTCGAGAATAAATGGCACGCGCTTCGTCTATAGTTAATGTTAAATTCTATCAGCTATGAATTTGTAACGTAAAGTGTATTGGCTATAAAAAAAAAATAATTTCGTAACAATAATTCCATTTCAAAGCGCTACGATCGAATTGACAACGTTCTTTCTTTTTATTGTTAATAAATCTGCAAGATCAGAGCACGAAATACGAAGCAATAGGTTCGTTTATGGAAAATTTTCTAAGCAAAACGAATAATATTTGGGGAACAAGCAACAGAGAACGTTTTATAATTTTCAAGTATCTTTATTTTCAAGTAACGTTTTTTATACCTAGTATGCGCGATCAGTAAATAAAAAAGATACAATTTAACGTAAATTTTCTGTAAAATAGAGATTATGAGGAATAAAGCAACAAACGGGCAAATAGATTTGAAACATTTATGACGAATTACGTGAACGAGCGAATTACGTGCCTGTTCTTTAGCAAAAAACGGAATTATATATTTGTGGACGCACATTTGAGCTTGTTTCTCGATGTTCATACATCTTTGAAGCAAGCTCGCTCCCTCGTTCGCGATCGTTCGCGATCCGCGACAAGCAAATTAAAGTGAGAACGCCATAAACGCGCGATCGTTCTCTTTAATCACTCAATTGATTAATTCCCGCGCTTAACGAGAGCTATTTATCGAAGCGTTCAAGCTATTTATTGAGTGTCTTTCTGCGCGATTCACATATATGTATATTCAAAATATAAATTGAAACGTAAGCAAGAAACGCGACTCGGGCGAGAGGTGGAGCGCGTTGAGTCGAGCCTCCTGATCTGGCCAATCACGTCCCGCCGCTCCGCGCCGCCGCGGCCGGCGCGGCGGATCGATACGGTACGGTGACGTAGTAGCAGTGTAGGCACCGCGCAGTCCGCATCAACCCGTACTAGCGGCGCGACCGTTGAACTTGAAAACTGCGTCTCTCGAAAATCGGCGTGTTTTCGGCATTGCTTTTGACAATGAGCGGACTTGCCACTTGCTTCCGTCAACGCTCGGAGTACTGTTACCTACGTGAGTGACTCCAGCTATCATTCTCCCGAGGGATTTCGCACGGGTAGGAAGTGATTGTGCTCCGCGCGCGCTCGTCACCGACGTCACCGTGCTTCGTGCTGTTTTCGGAACGCACTCGTTTCAGCGATTGGCATGCCTGCTTCCTCGTTTCGCAGGCCGCGGGAATAATTGCTACGCGAGTACGCGCCGTGTGTGTTCAACAATTTACGAGTGTATAAGAGGTGTCTGTCGGAATGAATAACGTGTCGCGCGAATCGCTTACTCGAGACGTCGAGGTACGCGAAGGTATGTAAACGGCAATTGCATGAACGATGTGCAGTTTCGCTGTGACATTCGCGGGTGATAGTCGCTCGTCCCGCCATGTCTGGACTCGCGAATCGCGAATGTGCGCATTCATTTATCTCGCGTCGTGCTTCGAATGCTGCGTGCCGGAATTGTCGTGTCGTGTGATTTATCCCCGATTCTCTCCGTAGGGAAAAAGAGGGCTGAGTGATAGTGTCGTATATCGAGTGATTCGAGTAACGGAACGCCGTGATACATCGCGGCGCCGTTTCGTGAATGCTTCGTCATAATCTCCGTACGTATATCTCGCGTCGCGTAAATTAGCGGCCGGCAGTCACGATTCTTCGTTGTTCATATTAATAATGCGGTTTTACTATCGCAAGATACCGTACGTGCTGCAGTGAGTGTGATATTTAATTTCAATAGCGTATCTTCGATTAACCAAGTGCGTGCCTTTGTTAACCGTCCGCTCGACTTGCGTATATAGTATCGCGCCAAGTTGCCGACACCTTGGAATATTTCGTCGCACGACGCGGAGCACGCGGCGTCGCGACTCCTTCAAATTTGCATGAGAAATTAATTGTTACCTAGCTGCTTTTATATATTACAGAGTAAAGATACTTCCTTCCCACGGGTACGACCTTGGCGAGGTGGGAAGGCCTAGTACCCAGTACGAGGATTTTACCCAAGCAAAACTCTTGTTCTGCTTGGATAAAAATCCAAAGACGGGGAAGCTAACGTACCCTCGCGTTCGCCGATTTAATTGAATAAACGAACCGCAGCCGGTTCGTCGCGTTTGCTTCGGGAGTGCCGTTCAAGTAATCGGACTAAAGGACTTTTCTAAACGGGAGTGCCGTACAGTATCGCGCGAGAAAGACTTTTAATGAAATTAGTCCGCGCGCGATTGTAGTTTATTATCCGCGAGTGTTTCTCGCGAGTGTCCTGTGCGGTGAGA